AAAAATAAATTGAGAGATGCAAAAAAGGAACCGAAGAATTATGTCGTTAGCAATTAACGTGTACATGTGAAACTTTCAAAGTGAATAAAAAGTACCTAAGCATATAATCATCGTAGTTTCATTTTATTTTTTAACAAGAACAAAATCACTCGCCTTCATCTGTGACTTCATGTATGTATATAATTAATTCATCAACTTTTATAATTGCAACATACAGGCACAGCTTTAGCGGGCTTTCTAATATAATTCTGGATATGAATTCCTTGTTATTTAATTCATTATTAATGATTATTGCATAGAGTGTTTGAACCATTGTCGAAGATACTAATGGTTTACCTTCCCATTAGTATAATGGAATAATTAATAATTAAAGTTCATAAATAAATTATAGAAATTTGGAATTTATCGTAATAAAAATATATTTATATTTGCTTCGTAGATATTAATAAATATAAGAAACAGCATTTCATATTTTACATCGATATTTTAGCACATGGCTATTTCAAAGGCGAAGCATCTTCCCGCGAAAATGAGGCACAGGTTTGCCCAATCGCAGAACACTTCTAGTCGACGCGATCCAATCTGCCGGTAGCACATGATGCAATATTTATACGCGTTACAGTGAAACTTTCAGTCCCAGAACAAAACGTTTCGTGAAGTAGTGTTATCCTTGATCAGTCTTCCAATTACTGCAATTGATTAAAGAAATATTTAAGAACATTACCACGCAGTATTAGTTACTATTTCGGAACATTAAACAACCTGCATAACATCGTCGTGATATATACGAAAGGACTACAACACAAGTTTAATAAATTGCGAGAATTTTACCAAGAACAGGATAAATAACTGTGAACATTTATTCGGCAGTAACAATCTACATGTGGAGAAAAGTGAAGGTGCACATGTGAAATAAAGTGACGGAAGTACAAGTGACGGTCAAATCGTGCTACACAGTTCAATTCTTTCGCTTATATTTCCGACATTACGCTTTTCGATTAGGTTTCCTCTGTATAGTAGAGTTCATTAGGGTTTTCTCTATCTCGTGAGTCCATTTTTCTTCGATCTCGAATATTCGAGTCCGAAATTTAGTGATGAAAGAACCTGCAGAATTGAACTTTTTCGCTTCCCTTTACGAAATTAGACCTCTGGATACGTTTTTTTCAATCTATCCACGTAGAGTGGAATTTTCTCTAATGGGATAGGATATTTTTTTTCGGTTTCGAGAGTGCGTTTTCGAGGAATAGTGCTGGAAGTGTCAGTGGCTGTCAGATCGCGCAGCGCAATTTAATTTTTCGACTTCTAGTTTTTGAATTAGGCTTCTTGAATCGGATTTTTCCACTGATTCGCGTAGAATGATTTTTCCCTTAACGGGATTGGATATTTTTTTTCAGTTTCGAGCGTGCGTTTTCGAGAAATAGTGCCGGAAGTGTCAGTGGCTTTCAGATCGTGCTGCGCAATTTACATTTTCGGCTTCTAGTTTCTGAATTAGGCTCTTTGAATCGGATTTTTCCACTGATTCGGGTAGAGTGATTTTTCCCTTAACGGGATAGGATATTTTTTTTCAGTTTCGAGAGTGCGTTTTCGAGAAAGAGTGCCGGAAGTGTCAGCGGCTGTCAGATCGCGCAGCGCAATTTACTTTTTTGGCTTCTTGTTTTTGAATTACGCTTTTTGAATCGGATTTTTACACTGATTCGCGTAGAATGATTTTTCCCTTAACGGGATAGGATATTTTTTTTCAGTTTCGAGAGTGCGTTTTCGAGAAATAGTGCCGGAAGTGTCAG